TGGAATTGTGAATTACACCCAATCACACCATATGACCTATCTAGTAGGGTGATGGACTTAATGGATTAAGTCCTTAATGGGTTAAGTGAGAAACACTTAACCCTAATTGTCATTTTATGTGAAACCCTAATTTCACTTGGGCTTTATGTTGGGCCTTTCTATTGGGCTTTGGTGATTGGGCCAATATTAGGCCATCCAAGAACAATCAAATGGACTAGAATAATTTAATGGGCTTTAGGGTAAGGCTCATGTAAGGGGTTTGGGCCCAATTTGGAAAATTGGGCCATAGATGGGCCATAGTTTCGGCCTTCATGATTATATGATATTGGGCCATTAGAATGTCAAATGTTGGACTGGCATAAATGGTTGGGCCTTAGAATAAGACCATGTAAAGCTTTAGGCCAAATTTTGAAAATTGGGTCATATGTTGGGCCTTGAGCCATAGTTGGACTTTTGGGCGTTTGGTTTGGGCCTTGGGCTTGAATCAAGCCAAGTTAGGGGTAGAGTAGTCTTTTGCCCCCAAGCATGGACTTATGGTTATGTATTGGAACCTAATTAATAATTGGGTGTTATTTTGATGTTGACAGTTCGGGAACCTGTCATCCAACAGCTGGGTTTGGGTCTGTGGAACTTCAGCAGTGTGAGGTGAGTTACCTTCTAGTAGTGATGGGTCTACGGCCACAATGTCGGCCCACTAGTAGGAGTTGTATGTTAGATGATTGTCTTTGTGATAATTATCTATGTTTGCTACTACCTGATGTGTTTTATGTGCTAGCCTGATATGATGTTATGTGATAGTAACAGTGGGGGGAATAGTCCCCGTATTACGGTTATTAGGACCGTAGGGTAGGCCGGGCACCCCAGATATGCCTGACAGTATGTTTATGATATGTTTTTATGTGATAGAGGTAGTAGTAGGGGAGTAGTCCCCGTGTTACGGTCGTTAGGACCGAAGGATAGGTCGGGCACCCCAGATATGCCCGACAGTGTGTTATGCTATGTTATTGTGTGGTAGTAGTTGGGGTGAAATAGTCCCCAGAGCCAGTTGAGATAAACTGGAGGGTAGGTTAAGCACCCCAGAACTGCTTGACATGGGTAGGTCAGCACCCCAGTGTGACAACCCGAAATTTCTATCTTATAAAGTCAATCAATTCAATCAAAAGTCAAACTTGTTTCTGTTATATTTTAGCATTGTTAAGAGTCTGTTTGAGAGTTTTAAGCCTAGTACACTCAAGGTTTGTGTGTTAGGATGTGTTAGCTCGGGTTCTTTGAGTTGCAATTGAGCTGAAAACTCCATCAAAAGGGGTTCACGACCACATCTAGACTCCTGGTCGTGAACAAGTCCCCTATATAAACAAATTTGGCTCATTTTCTACACTTTTTCAAATCCTTCAACCCTAGCCGTGAACACTCCTCATTCTCTCTCAACTTCTTCAACCATGAACACTAATCAAAGCTACCAAAATGTAAGTATCTCTTCCATAAGATTGTTGTCCATTAAATCACTTGATTTCATCCATGAAACAAGCACCAAATTGCAAGATCTTTAAGAGTTCACGGCCGTGAACCCTTTATTGGGCCGTGAACACTTCATAGGATCTTGACATGGCCGTGAACCCTTCTTAGATGTAAGGTTTGGCCGTGATCACTTCATCCATGACCGTGAACACCTTATAGAATCAAGGTTGGGCCGTAAACACATCATGTGTTCATTGGTCGTAAACCCTCCTAAGGCCGTGAACATCCCTTTGTTTGGCCGTGAACTCCTTTAGTGCAATCATATGTGATTGTAACACTTCATTCCAAGTGTTTCCTAGTCCTTAAGGTTGTTCCCTATCAAGATTAGTTGTTATATACACTAATTATATCCATATATGTATCATTATATGCTTAATAGGATCTGTTTGTGCTCGGGACTTCACCTGACACTTAGCTTCCTATATCGATCTTACATTCAAATCACTCACTACAGGTGAGTTCATACCCCTATATTATCTTTTAAATGATTTTAAATGCTTTTATGGGGGGGATACAAGTAGAAAACATTATAGTTATTATATCAATCACATGTGATTAATAACTATCAATCATGTAGATTTCTTATTCTTCAAAACTGTGTTATCAAACTATTTCAAAAACCTTTTATAAACTGACATCAGATCATCTATAGCCATTCAAATGGTTAAAACTCTTTTATATGTTAAATTCTTTATCAAACTCTCTTAAACTTATATATTGTCAAAATCATGTCTATATAGATATAGTTATATAAATAAGGTTGAAAGGGCTTAGGACTGATAACCCGCTTTATTTCCTGTTCCTTGTTTGGTTGTGGACTTTGGGTATCGTTTGTTTGTTCAAATGTCGTTTGAATCTTAGTTATATATAATGTATATGTATATAGATATAAAAGTTCTTCCATTCAGTTCAATACCATTGGGTAGCAAAGGTGTTCAAACATAATCAGTCATTCAAACAACATTACTAGTAACCTATAATAGGTATAGTTTAGGATGTCACTACTTACTATTTCTAGAACAGTGAAACTTACAAGAGTCCGTTCATACATGAGTCAGTTCAAACATACTATACACCAGAACAAAGAGAACATACTATACACTAGAACGGATAGAACATACTATACACTAGAACAAAGAGAACATACTATACACTAGAACAGACAGAACATTAATGTGAGCCACTACTTCATGGCACGGCAATATACTGTTGTGTCACGTTTTGTAACCAGAGTCTCCTGGAGGGAGAGCGTGAATTTGTGTATAGATCTATACAGGATTGACCATCCTACACCTTTCTGCTAGCTACAGTGGGACCTGCAGGTCTACGGGTGAAGAATGTCATACCATTTCGACGTCTTTGATCGTCGTGTTTTACTAGTCAATCAAGTATGGTTATAATCTCATCACATTTTATCTTAATTAAACAAATTGGTTTAAGGTAGTTAGTACATTTGTAGTTACTTATATACAATACTACTGTACATCGTCATTTTCCCATTACATTCATATTGTGATCTTCTCACATAAACGGTAATGTAAACTATATTTTTGGTAATGATAGTCATACTTCGGGAAAAACACTCACTTTCACAAAAGAACAAACTTACAAAACAGTCGGGTCTTGGTAGAAGACTACATTAGAAGAAAATATAGGATTTTCTAGGAAGCATACAAACATTTACATCAAACTCTTACAAACTTTACATCAAACTTTTGCAAACACTTTCATCAAACTTATACAAACAATGACACTAAAATACTTATGAACTCACCAGCTTTAATGCTGATCTACGCTTTCAAAATAACTTGTATTCTCAGGTCACCAGTAAACATGTACCGATGACCAGGTTTTGAGAAGACGGAGCACGTTCAAGACTCGTCTTTTATTTTTATTCATATTTTGGTGTCTTTCAAACTATACACAGAACACACTTGTATTGAATTATATTATTAATGCAATAGATGATGTTGTTGTTTGTTTTACTATTATTCATTGTTATGATACTGTACATGACGTCCTCCGCCCCCGAACGTTTCCGTCGTTCTGGTTTGGGGGTGTGACACCCAGAACTGCTTGACATGGGTAGGTCAGCACCCCATAACTGCTTGACATGGGTAGGTCGGCACCCCAAAACTGCTTGAGATGGGTAGGTCGGGCACCCCAGAATTGCCCGGTAGTATGTGTGTTGTATGGTATGTGGTATGATGGGGGAACTCACTAAGCTTCGTGCTTACGGTTTACAGTTTTGGTTTCAGGTACTCGTTTTCAAAGGAAAGGAGCCGGCTTAATCACAGCGCATCACACTATCTTTTCCACACATGAGATCTTTGGGATTACACTATGATATGGTTTTATGATAATATGTTTTGATTATTGACACTTTGGTTTTGACATGATATATTATTATGAATGTTTTTATACTGTTGGTTTTATATAATAACTTAATTAAAATGAAAATTTGGTCTTGAATTTTGGGATGTTACAATTATTATGAATGCATTATTAACCAACACAATGTGTGTATGTTTTTATTATAGGTAATGAATAAGAGACCCGATGGAAGTGCTAAACACTTAGAAGTTATAGCTGAGAAACCATCGAGACATGATCATTTTCATAATGGCTATTTTGTAAATGGTTATAAGTTCCATACTCAACAATATGGTGATGGCCATGTAACAAATAACTTTAGAGTACGTGTGAGAGGGGAGACGTATAATATCGAACAAGATTCAGACTACTACGACATATTGCAAGATATCCTAGAGATTGAGTATTATAGTAGCGGAACCTCAACTGTTGTATTGTTTTATTTTATTTGGTTTGATAACGAAGATGGTGTAATAATCAAGAAAAACAAGTTGATTGATGTGAAACCTAACTCTCGACTTCAAAATGACGACCCGTTTTGTTTAGCATCACAAGTAGAACAAATGTTTTATACACCATACCCTTCAGTAACAAAGGAGATGAAAGATAAGTGGGTGGTTATCAAGACAAAACCTAGAGGGGTATTTGAATTCACCGAAGCTAAAATGGAAGTAGATGGAATCTTTCAAGTTGAAGAACGGTTTGAGTCACTCGTTACTGTAACTCGTGCAAAACGACCGTGCCTAGCCTCAACTACAAATACATATGAGCAAATATATGATGACGAGAATGAGGGATCTAGGGAGGAAGACGAATAAGAGGAAGGTTTTGAAGACAACGATTATGGAAACAATTTGTTTTATTCAAAAGAAGAATTTGAAGACGAAGTTGATGGGGACAAATATTAGGAGCATTATATTTTGTTGATGTTAAGAGCATTGTATTTGTTGATATTAGGAGCAATGTCTTTTTTTATAAACCTTATAATGAAACATTGTTTTGTAATGATTTTTCAATGGACATCGCGTTGTTGTTTTAAACATTTATTTTTTCATGACTTATCAATCTTATATTATATATCTGACCATTCTAGTTTTATTAAATGCAGCATGTCGGGTAATGGACGGAAGGATATAGGCCGTAAGAACAACCCTTCTTCTTGTAATGCAGGGCATAGGGGGAGGGCATCCCCTAATTCTACTAACGAGCCACGTCATATGACATTGCTCACACCGATCGACATGTCGATGATTAGAGGAGTCGTAGGCTCCAACAGTCAAGGTATCAATAGTCAGCAAACCGACATGGATGATCCTGTAGCAGACTTGTACGGGATTCTTCGCCAGGCTTAGCAGATGATCCATCGATCCCATCCTCACATATAGGCTATTGGGCCCAGCCTCCACTTACATAGACAGGCTATGGGTCCCAACCTCTACCGTACCCCCACCCCCATAAAAGGGTCGTGGGGTCTCACCTACGGTTTTGAGAACCCATGGTGGTGATGGGTTTTAGGATTATTTTTTTGAGGGTGGAGACGTAGAGTTGACGACGCCAAATACATCGGTCGTGCCACAAACGCCACATGGCTCCGCCTCCAGAGGTATTTCGAGCGGTCACGGCTCGAATGCCGGTGATTTTGATGACTCATCATTGTCCATTATCCAGAAGAATGCGGATAAGTTAGTGTTTTCATCTTCTTAAGCTTTAATTTTTTATGTTGTAATTATACTTATATAAGTTTTTCTGTAGGTTTGATGATCATTCAATCCACAACACGTTTATAGATCTCTTTTGGCAGAGTATGGATGATGTGTGGCGTACATATAAGAGCATCATGGAAAAGACTCGGAGACAGATGTTTGTGTGTTTAAGGTTAGTATATTAAATATTTATTATTGTATCTTATACTAATTTCTTTTTACTATGTATTTTTAACTTACTTTTTGTTTTTTACAAACAAAATATAGGTGGTACACAATGGAGAATGAGGCGATATATACAACATTCAATAATATCCTCAAGGATAGATATAGGGACAGGATGTGGGATTTGAGGAAGTTATTTGCCAAAATGTCACGACGTGATTGGCTACCCATTCAAAAAGGTTATAGTAAATACTTTCCTAAGATGTATCAACACCGTCCCGATATGCTACCGGAGTCTGCGTGGCCACGTTTGTATGATGTAAGAGATACAATACATTATTGTTTTATTTTGTTGATTTTTATTACCTATAATATATATATATATATATATATATATATATATATATATATATATATATATATATATATATATATATATATATATTCTTTTCACATCATTGGAGCACAGAGAAATGGAAAAAGTTGTCAGAAGCTGCTCAGAAGAACCAAAACACCCCTGATTCCAATGGAAGGACATCAAAGCATACGGTTGGTAGTATAGGATTTGTCGAGCATTTTCGTAACTTGGTTACTATCATAATTGTAAATTTCATTATTCTTGTTTTCTTTTAACACTAACTACATCAATTATACTTTATCTTTTATGTAGAGAGCACAGACGGGTAAAGAACCCAAATCTTGTGATCTATACGTGAAGACACATGGCACAAGTGAGTCCAAGAAAAGTTATTTCAAGGGAGAACATGAAAATATAGAATATTGTTCATAAATTGCCAAAGATGCAAAAGTAAATTATCTTTATCAATTTTTTATATTGACTATCTCAATTTCTTTCTATATGACAGTGGTGTCGTTTTGGTAAATTGTAGGATACATATCTAGAGGGGTTAGCGATGAAATATGGAGAAGATCCGGCAAACCATAAGGACGATGCAGTGGTATGGGTTAAAAGTAACCTTCGGAGAAAAGTATGAAAGAAGAAGGGTCATATCTATGTTATAGGAGCATCAGATGCCAATTTTGTGGTTTTTAGGACACCATCTTCCCAATCTACCCGCTCCACCCAATCTGACAACAACACACAACAAGATGTATGTTGTTAATTATGGTTTAAAAGTTAAATAGTAGGTTGTTATTATGGATAAAATTTATTACAAAGAAGTAAATTGTTATTATGGTTTAAAAGTTAGGTAGTTTGTTGTGGTTATAGATTAAATTGATAATAAAAAATAGTACATTGTTATTATGGTTTATTGATAAGAAAGAAAAGTACATTGCTATTATAGTTCAAAATTTAAGTATATTGCTACAATTATAATAAACTCAAGTACATTGCTTTATGTTTTAAGTACTGAATTAATTGTATTACCATTTTGTAGGTTGATAGGTTGCGTGAAGAAGTTTCTACAATGCGAAATTGCAAGAACAAATGGTAGAACAAATGGCAATGATGGCGAGGATGATGAATGTGACGCCAAATCAAGCCTGTGATCCCCCACATACTCCACCTAAGGATGATGTATAAGTTATGAATGTTGGTATTTGGAATGAATGTTTGTTAATTTTTAGTTGGTATGAATGTTGTGAAAATGGAACAATGGAATGTGTCAAACTTGGTATTTGGAACACTTTTTGTGTATTTTGAAAATTTAATTGTAGTGTTATTAGGTTTGTGTTTACTTACGGAATACCAACGACAAGGTTGTCAGTCAATATGACCGTCGGAAATCTCTCGATGGTGTGAGTCAAAGTGTGTTCCGTCGGTAATCCATCGCTAATGAATCTGTCGGTATTCCATAAGTAAGTAGAAGTTGTCGATAATCCGCCGCAAATATGTCGCTAATGAAATCCGTCTGTAATCCATAGGTAAGTGTAAGTCGTCAATAATCTGTCGCAATTCCGTGGCTATTGTATTTCGTAGGTATTATGTTGGTAAATTACCTATGGAAAAGGGTCGTCGGTATTTCGTAGCTAATACGTCATAGTTTCGTAGCTAACATTTACCCATGAGCAATTATGTTACGACACACTTTTCTTCACAATTCTGTAGGTAAACTCGTATACCAAGGGATTTTGTTGCAGGTATTTTGAGATTTTCTAGTAGTGGTACCAATGATTTGAAACCCATAACACAAACCAAACAAGATCATCAACCCCTAAATGATTCATTTGTTTCCTTGCCTATGAACATTCGAAGCCCAAAATATACTTGGAAGTTTGTCTTAATGGATAGTCTAAGAAAAAGATTATTTAGTTAAGGATCAAGCACGATGTTCAATGAAATTGATTTTTGAGGTAAAACCCATATGAAGTCAAACCCATCTAAACTACCACATACTATGTAGGTCTTTAACAAATTGCAACCTAGTTGAGGGGTGTTTTATAATATCTCTTGTTGGATTGATGTCATATGTGGTGGTACAGGATGCAATAGATCTGCACATGAGGGCACGATTTATGAGTTTAATTTCTAGATTGGAGGTGGTGCATGTGTTGGTGCTCAATGGCAGTGGTGGTAGCAATAGTATTTGATATCGGAGATGGGGTCGGTGTTTGATGGCGGAGGTTGTGGTCAGTGGCGAGTCTAGAACGTAAAACAAGGTGGTTCACTATTTAAGTGAAACTGATAGAAAATAAAGAAAAAATATTAGTTACGGGTCCGGGTCGGGTCGTAAGCCTACCGTGTGTAAAGCGAGAGAAGAAACGATGTGGTGAAACACCTTTTTTTGCCTTGTTTTCCTTTATTTATCCTTAACTTGTATTGAACTATTTTTTATTGGATTATAATCTAAATGAATATAAAGAAAAAAAAAATATTAGTTTCGGGTCCGGATCGGGTCGTAAGCCGACCGTGTGTAAAGCGAGAGAAGAAGCGATGTGGTGAAACGCCTTTTTTGGCTTGTTTCTTTTATTTTGTCTTTAACTTGTATTGAACTATTTATTTATTGGATTCTAATCCAAATGAATTGGATATTTGGCCTATTGAAATATAAAGTGTTGGCTTTAAAAATCTTTATTTATACATGATTGTTTTGCAAAGAACATTAAAGATAATTTAAGGTAGTTCATTTCAAATACTTAAAATATGGCACAATGTATATGTATATATAATCTGTTATAGGAAAAAAAAAATTAGGTGGGTCAAATGACCCACCTTCAATACATACAGACTCGCCTCTGGTTGTGGTGGTGGTGTTTGATGGAGGAGATGATGGTGTCGTTGGGGAGAAAGAGAAAATATGGGTAGAGGGACGGTGGTGGTGGTTGTAGGCGGATGGTGGTGGTAGCAGTAGGCGGTCGATGGTGATGTTCTTGAATGTTGAGAGATGGAAAGGAGGAGATGTATAGGAGATACGAGTAATATTTTAGACATTTCATATTTTATTTTTTATATAAAAAAAAAATAAAAAATAAAAACAAATGATATTTTTTCATTTCACACACTTAACTGAATCTGTTAACAAAGTCATAAAGACTATTTGTTTGTTGTTTTGTCGAAAAAGACCACTGGTGTGTTGTGTTTTGTCAAAAGGAACAATTCATGCAAAAAATGTTTTCACAAGGATTATCTTGGGGACAAAATTAAAACTATAAAGACCATTTGTGAAATTTTTTCTATATTTTTATATTGTTTCTTAGTAATTTAGTATATATAAAGCAAACTATAAAATATTTTAGAGAAATTAAATATTCTCCTACTTAATCCTCCTAACCAATGAAATAGTGACATGTATAATATAATGCTTATTTAATAATATTTTAATATGCTAATATGACACGTATTATTATTTAATTGTTTAGAAAAATTGATAGGAACAAAAAACAGAATAATATTTAATTTCTCAATATTTTAATATATAATTTACAGTCTTATCATGAGTTTAATAGTGCTTATTTAGCAATGAGCTCAATAGCATTTAACCTGATCTTGAGTTGAACTTTAATTAGCAAGTCGATTTGGAATAAATCACGAGAAGCATAGCTCACTTACGCACGTGAATACATTCTATTAAAAATAAATTACTACTGGAAATATAATAAGATTTAGAATAATACGTTATGCATAGATTTTATTTATTAGAAATAATATATTATACATATATACCCATTTTGCGGCTGATAAACATTGACACGCTATTTGAATGTGTCATTGTGCATGAACACCGATTTGATGTTTGTGATGCCGTGCTGTTGGAGCTAATTTCGCAAACAAAAATACTGGTTTGCTGCTGGGTTGGGTGAATGTGATTATCATTGGCGTCGAAAGAAAATAACCTACACACTCGAAGCATGACCTCCATGCCGGCAAGCTTCTCTGGTCAGGTCGGAAATTCCAGATGGTCGCTAGCCGGAATGAGTGCTCTGGTCACCGGTGGTACACGTGGAATCGGCTATGCTGTGGTGGAGGAACTCGCTGAGTTAGGGGCAAGAGTACACACATGCTCACGTAACGAGTCTGAACTCAATCAACGCTTACAAGAATGGTCGGGGAAGGGCTTCATCGTCACTGGATCTGTCTGCGACTTATCTTCTCGTCCCCAACGAGAACACCTCATTGAAAAAGTATCCTCTCTTTTCAGTGGCAAGCTCAACATCCTTGTAAGTTCTTGATTTCTTCCATTGTTGCCCAATACTCAAGTTTTTTTTTTTTCTCAGATTATAGGAACTTGAGCAGTTATCAGAAGACTTACTTCCGTAACATAAATGTTTCCTGTAGATAAACAATGTTGGGACGAGTATAGTGAAACCTACTATAGAGTATACAGCAGAAGAATACTCAACGCTCATGGGCACCAATTTCGAATCTTGTTACCATATGTCTCAACTTGCACATCCTCTTTTAAAGGCTTCTGGAGTGGGAAACATTGTGTTCATTTCATCTGTTGCAGGTCTGGTTCATGCTTCTGTTGGGTCTATTTACAGTGCTACTAAAGGTATGGTTATTTCGCCCCACGTACAACTCTATATGTGTATCTGATGTCTGATTTACATGTACAGGTGCAATGAATCAGCTTACAAAGAATTTAGCCTGTGAATGGGCTAAAGATAACATTCGGAGTAATAGTGTAGCGCCATGGTTCACTAAAACATCCCTTATTGAAGATGTAATATATCTTGTTCATGTTGCCCTTTTTTTGTTTACTGAATGATAATGGTGGATACGTATACGTACCCTTGTGTAGTATTTGCAGGGTGCTGATAGTAAGGAGTTTGTGGATGCTGTGGTGTCAAGAACTCCTATGAAACGCTTTGCAGAAGCCAATGAAGTTTCATCTCTGGTCGCCTTCCTTTGCTTACCTGCTGCTTCTTACATCACTGGGCAAATCATTGCTGTTGATGGAGGATCTTCAGTCAACGGTTATCCGTAAGTGCAATGTAGGGTCTTTTAGCGAATGCTTGTGAACTTCGTTTTTTTTCAATTAATATTACTTGCTATTGTGTTTCGAAACAAACACCATGTTTGTATAAATACAAAAAAAAACACAAGAACATAGTTTTGTATCGAAGTTGATGATTGAGTTTATGCATGATAGTAACTTCATTGTAAAATGATTAAAAAGGCGAGTTGATGTCAACTTTTTAACATAAATCACAAAATAATAATCAATTTAATATAAAGAGTAAATTATGTGAATGCTCCATTATGTTTGAGATAATTTGTGTTTGAGATAATTTGTGTGTTTGGTCCTTAACTTATTTTTAACCCCGACCATCCATATTATATGGTTTTGTTACGCCGTTGGTCCCTAACAAAGATAAAAAGATTGTTTTATCTTTTCTATTTAAATTAATGTTTCTTTTTATTGTTTTCTAATTTAATAATGTGTTTAATTTAATGGGACCCGTCGACCCACATATCACCACTTCTCCAACTAGAATGCCTACAAACCTCATCTTGTCCCCTATTCTTCTTTCCGGAAAGGCAGTATCTTATCCGGCGAGAATGTAAAAAATGCAATTCTCGTTAAACTCCATCTCTGGCCTCTTGCACTACCGTCACCCACCTAATCGCCAGCCCCAACATGTTGATCCGAATGAATTTGATTTTAGAAAAGAGCTTCACACAATCGATTTTATAAACTAAAACCTCAAAATTGTGAATCGGTTTTACAAAACCACGTCATAACCTTCACACACCAACCCTACTCCATATTAGTAAAACAAGCATCGCCTACAATCAACACCGATTAAACTGGTCATGCTTCCTGTCCTTAGTATGTTTCAATGATATGTGATCTTATTCTTACATAATTCTTGACGATTAAACTGACCATGCTTCATGTCCGTAGTATGTTATTGTTCTAATCGACTGACCCAAGTTAGTTATACTTCGAGTTGGTTCTTAATTTACGTACCCATACTTGTTAGTCGTTATGCCAACCTACAATTAAATACAAGTAATCAATTAAATGTTGAAAAGGGAAAAGGATTTTAGAATTTGTGTAACACCCTGTTCCGAATCGTTTCCTATTTCGGGGTGGTGACCAAAG